GGAACACTTTTACACTGTTGGTGGGATTGTAAACTAGTTCAACCATTGTAGAAAACAGTATGGCGACTCCTCAGGGATCTAGAACTAGAAGTACCATATGACCCAGCCATCCCATTACTAGGTATATACCCAAAGGATTATAAATCATGCTGCTATAAAGACACATGCACACGTATGCTTATTGCAGCACTATTCACAATAGCAAAGACTTGGAATCAACCCAAATGTCCATCAGTGAGAGACTGGATTAAGAAAATGTGGCACATATACACCATGGAATACTATGCAGCCATAAAAAAGGATGAGTTTGTGTCCTTCATAGGGACATGGATGCAGCTGGAAACCATCGTTCTCAGCAAACTATCGCAAGAACAGAAAACCAAACACCACATGTTCTCACTTATAGTGGGAACTGAACAATGAGATCACTTGGACTCGGGAAGGGGAACATCATACACTGGGGCCTATCATGGGGAGGGGGGAGGGGGGAGGGATTGCATTGGGAGTTATACCTGATGTAAATGACAAGTTGATGGGTGCAGCACACCAACATGGCACAAGTATACATATGTAACAAACCTGCACGTTATCCACATGTACCCTAGAACTTGAAGTATTAAAAAAAAAAAAAAAAAAGATAGGGATAGCTTGTCATAGCATGACATAAATAGGAAGGTAAATATGTTGTTTAAAAAAATGTAATGGCATTTCAAACCCAAAGATAATTTTTAAAATATTATCCATTACCAGTCTAGATTTTTCAAGGTTTTGCTCCCTTAAATTTATGTAAAAAATGTGGATAACATAGCAAATCAATAGGCCTACCCAGTAAGCATAACCTTCTTAGATCTGAGTATTTTTGTGCAACAAGAAAAATGTCAGGCAAAGAGTCGATATAGTTGTTGAGAGTTGTTTCTAAAGGTTATAGTAATTCTCCTGTTATGTCAGTGTTGTGACTAAAGATAAGATCCAAGAAGAATTAATTTAATTGTACTATAAATGGTTACATTACGAGGCTTAAAATGAAAAAACCCTTACCTCTCAACTCAGTGGTTTATTGGGAGCTCTCTCTGATGACTTGTACTTAAGATCACCTTGCTTTTACTTTTCAATCAAAAGATGACAAATACTATACCTTGTATCTCATTAGTAAGAATTTCTCATTAGTGACAATTAGCTAATCCTGTATGTACATTAAATGTTGGTATAACAATAATTGACAATAGTTATACAACTCTTTTGCCAGGTACTATTCTAAGTAATTTTGCATTAATTCTCATAGAAAAACTAGGAAATGTATTCCATTATTATCCTTGCTTTAACAGTTAAGGACACTGAGGTGCAGAAAAGGTAACTAACCGGGTGAAGTTCCTATGATAAATAAGGGGCAGCACTGGTATTTGAATCCACTGCAGTCTGGTTTCAGAACTTTTACAGTTAACCACTGGGCCATACTACCTCCCTGTTGAATTAGTCATCCTTCTTCCTATTAAAGAGAACACACAAAAATGGTGCCAATATGTTTCCTATACAGTAAAATGAGAATTCTATATATATGAGTAAAATGAGAATTCTAATTGTTCTTACCTCTCTTCCAGTGACAGCCTACTCTGACAACACAGGCTGAGTTAGATGCCCCTCCTGTCCCACATTCACCTCTCATACAGCACTTGATATGCTGATCTGTCATCATGTCTCAATTGATTGTAATTACATGAAGCAGGGATTATTGAAAGACTGACACAGAGTACAGTGCTTAGAATATAGTAGGGGTTCAATAAATGTCTGTTGGATGAACTGATGCTTCTCATTGTTTTCAGGTCTGCCTACTGACATTCCAGACTGTACCAAAACAATCAGATGTACCCCTCCCCAATAAGCTACCATTACTCTGCTATCAACTTTTGCAATTCTTCACAATGTGACAAACTACATTTATCTTTGAAATACTTTTGGAAAGCATACCAATAGTTATCCCAAGAAAAAAGGTCTTACCTTCTAAATCTTCTTTCTCAAAGTGTGTTTTGAGAATAGAACGAGTTCCACCTCTATCCACAACTGCTTCTTCATCATTTCTCTGTTAAATGAGGATAAGGAAGATTAAATGATAACACACATATTATCTTAATTTCAAAAAAACAAACCTTGATATAATCTGATATTTCAAAGTTTAATTCAGTCACTTAAATCTAGTTGTTCATGAGTAGTCTATTTGATTATTAAGTGTTGGCTCAAAAAGAAGACTAAAATAAATTTGACCACATATTTGAAGAAATATCATCTGGTTTTTTATAACATTGGAAGCAGTCAAACATTCCAGTTGGCACTATTTGTTAGTGAGATGAAAAACAAAACAAAAAAAATAGTTATCCTATCTATTTAGTAACATGCATTTTTATCCTTGATAAAGAATTCTTGTTAACAAGATGACATTTTGAACTATGCAAGGGAAATATGAAAATCAATAGTATTAACACCATTAATGCTATGGCAGGTAAAATAATTCCACTGCCATTAAAAATGGGGTTGGGATCTAATCTCTTGAAAGCAATTAGTAGCAATTATTAGGTAAAAGGCAATTCTAATTACTTTGTTTCAGTATAATGCATTTTATTCTAACTAAACAGTAAATTATGATCATGTGCACTAAACCTTCTAGTGTCTCTCTATATTTTTGCCAATTTAGAATGAGTGGATAGAGGCTATGTCTTCTGAGTACTAAACATATGCTCAAAATACTACAGTCACTAATTTGGTACTCAAAAAATAATGGAAGGGGGGCTGAGTATAATCAATCCATTTTGACAATGCAGGAATAGACAAAATACAAAATTCTGAAATAAATAAAATGTAAACTATTATATTTCTAACTTTTATCTGGTTGTTCACACCTCTATAAAAATTACCTTAAAAGTGAACACTGAGCACAAAAGGAGAAATAAAAAGATAGACTAAAGGTGAGTGAAGCTTCCAAGATCTATTCCTGTCTATTCTGGTATATGACTAGTAGAAAAAAGGTTTTTGTTTCTTCTTTGAAAGCCAGAGTATGCTGAAAAGAAAATTAAAAAAAATAAATGTAAAATGTAAAAACATTTTTTTCTTCTATCCATCAATACATTAGAGCATCAGACATTGGGGACCTGCCTTTCTTCCATTAAGGAAGAAATCTTTGACAGAGTGCCATAATATGTAGCAGTGAATACAAGAGTCATGGGAATCCAGAAAAGAAATAAATTACTGTTAATTTAAGAGTACGGACAGAATAGAGAGGGGGAGGAAAAAAATTTTCAATGTCTCAATGTTGGAGAATTCTTATAAATAGGGCACATGAAGAATTAGAGTAAGGAGAAGAGAAATGAAAGAAGAATCAATAATGTCAGACAACATATAGACATTTTTTTAAATGATGCAAAATTATTTTCCAAAGTTTTTGAACTTGGACTACATGATCATTGGTAACCTTGTGAGGGGAACATATAAGGAAAATGCAAAAGTCAAAATCTAATCAAGCAAAACTAATGAGGTGATCTATCATGAATAAATGGGGCAAGAGGATATAGTTCTTGCCTTGCAAAGCACTGCTGATTCTCATTAGCTTACCCCCCACTGCATGTCTTTGCTTTTAGACCTTTGACTAGACTTAAGTTCTAGTGGGCCTTGAAAGGTGAGGTACAAAATGTGACCCACAAGGAGTTGAGCTACATTCCAAATAACTGCAAGATGTTTCCAATCTATACAGACAGAAATACAGGAAACATATGTGGGAATGGATATTAAGGGTGTTGAGGTAATAATGGAAGGAATATAACATTGGCTCAGGCTGACTTTATTGATATGGACCCACTAAGCAGAGATCCTATATTTAATGCAATCACTCAAGGGGTTAGAAAGGACTCCAACAGTTTGGTTAGTTGGCTAAAACATGAACCAAAAAATGGGCTATGCTAAATGAAGTTGAAATTCCAGAACTGCTTTGTTACACTGTAGAGGAAAGTATATAAAGGCTTAGGAAGACTGAAATGTTGGAGTAGATTTATAATTTAAGGCCTGCTTGCCCATACCAGGAGGGTCCAGAAGACACATCTTTCACCAGGACTATGGGAAACGAATTTGTGATGGGAACCCTAGCATCCTTGAAGAGCTCTACGGTCTTTTTCCTCTGTGGGTCAGGAATTACAAGGAAACTGCTGTCATCAAACTGGAATCCTAAAATGGAATTGGATAATTAGATCTGAGGCAGGACAGGAGCCAAAAGACAGCACATAATCACTAAAGATGGGTGTGGTTACCATATAAACAGTAGTAAAAACAGTAATCAGAATAGTCTGATTCAGAGACCTATGGTATTTGTTAGTTGATCAAGGTGTCACTAGAAGTGAAATAGATGGGCAGTCTACTAAATTCTTCTATGATCTGTAGAAGCACAAAAGGTCAGGTTCTAGGTCAGTAAACAAGTCTAACTTGAATCATAAGAAGAGTCATGGTCTCTCAATCAAAGTCCATACTTGAGCCAATTTACAGACCCAGAACCTCTTGAATGAAGGAGAGGCCAGATCCACTAGAGAAAGGATCTTGCTACACTGCCAAAAATTTGTAGTCTTTCTCACAGCCTTCCCCAAAGAGACCTACCATCTTTTACCAGGATGACTGTGCATTGGGGAAAAGGAAATAATCGGACTTTGAGGGAAATAACTGGATACTGTCTCTGAACTGACACTATTCCAAACAGACTGAAAATGTCACTTGGGCTCACCAGCCAGAGTAGGGACTTATGGATGTCAGGTAGTCAGTGAAGTTCTGGCTGAAATCTGTCTCACTGTGGATCCAGTGGGTTTCTGAACACATCTTGTGGTTGTTTCCTCAGTTCAAGAATGAATAATTGAAAGAAAAATAGATTATAATTGGGGAGTCTTCAAAATCAGAGTATTTGTTTTCTTTTCAAGTCAGTTAGACCTTTGCATATCTGAAGGTTAAAGGAAAGGTGTCAATATAGAAGAGAA